TTAAATATTCTAGGTTTCTTTGCCATAATAAGTTGTCATACGGTATTTTTATTCTGATTTAGGTTTCCTAAAAACTGATGAGTCTCTTCTTCAAGAAAGTGCTGAAGGTAAAGTTTCTGATTCAATTCTTTAAAATTTTGTTGACATTCTGTCATACAAATGCTAAATCTAGTGTAAGCTTAGTTTATATAAGTGGAATAATCTTGTTTTTAATTCAATAACAAAGTTTACTGGTTTCAAATGCCCATCTAATTTACCTTTATGTGCTTTGGCAACAATGTACCACAATGCATTGTCATTTGCACCTTTTATTCTGATATTAGCATTGCTGTTATCGATTCCTGTACTAATAATGATGTGATATTCTGAAGTGATTCATATCTTGCTGATGCTTAGTCACTGTTTTCAGGAGGATGGCAGGATGGGGCTACAGCCGTATGTGTTTGGGTATTGGGACAAAGAGTAAGTTTCCTGTTATTAGTCACTAGTTGTTTATACTGCTTCTTTCTGATGCTTACTGTAAATAGACATCATAGGCAGTATAGTTATGGATATTTTTTTGAGCAATCTTACAACAAAATTGTCAAAATTGATATGCTTTTCCCTTTTAATATTTGTTAGGTTGCAGTTGCTCATATAGGAGATGCCAAGGCAGTATTAGCTCGGTCAACTGATGGATCACAAAATCCAGATGGTGTCCAGGCGCTGAAGGCCATTGTTCTGACTAGAGAACACAAACCTATCTTCCCACTGGAGCGTACACGCATTCAGAAGGCATGAAATTCCTCAATAATGATTGATTATATCACCAGAGTTATTTGATACTTAGTATGAAGTTAGCAAATAAGACCCTGACTCCTTCCTGTCATACACTGAAGTTGCCATCATTACCACTTCTTTTATGGAGCTTTCAACTGCACGCTTCCTAACATACTTCTTCACTCACTATTGAGCAAAAGTGGAACTGTAGAGATTAAGTTAAAAGCACTGGTATTATGATTAGTTGTGCTGACAATTTTTTACCCCAACTATTTGAGTGCATGGTGGATTGGGATTATTTATGGGAACACAATCTTGTTTTTTTCTTTTCCCCAAAACTCTTTCAAGATGGACAAGAAAGTGCATTTATTTATTCAAAATTCACTAATCCATGACAACTTAAATTACTCAGAATATACAAGGACCAGTTCTAACTAGTATGGTACCCCTTTGGAATTGTTGTTTGAAATATCAGTAGTGATTGAATCATTCCCTTGTTGCATTTCATTTTAGTTTAGAATCATTGGGTGGAGAGTGAACTTTTATCTACAAATATTTGATTCATTTTATTGTATGATATTTTCTACTTACAGTCAGGGGGTTTTGTGAGCTCAGATGGACGATTATTAGGGCGTCTTGAAGTTTCTAGAGCTTTTGGAGATCGACAGTTTAAAAAGGTTTGCCTCATATTCAAAACTAGTCATTATTTTTGTTAGTAATCTATGGATGACTTCTTTATAGCTTCAACTAGACCAGTAAAGAAGAGCATTTATTGGCCCAAATATGTTTGTAATCTTGAGGAGAATTGTGTTTGCAGGTAGGTCTTGTTGCAAGCCCAGATGTCTATACTTTTGAAGTTACAAATACTGAGCATTTCATCATTCTTGGCTGTGATGGCTTGTGGGGGGTATGTCTCTTTGTTTCCCCTAGACTTTCCTTTACTCATTTTACTGGGTTAGAAGTTGCTTCTGAGATGAATATGGCACATTGTTTGTGGCAGGTATTTGGTCCCAGCGATGCTGTTGATTTTGTTCAGAAGTTATTGAATGTAAGTGCTTGTTATATCTTTTTCTATCTTGCAACTTGAAAAGAGGTGTACAATTGTTCCAACACCAATGAGTGGTGGAAAGGAAAATAATGAATCCGTTAGTGAATGAAATGTGAACAGGAAAGGAGAAAAATCTCCATTCCAGGGTCTTCTCTTTTACTAAGTTCGAGCCCTTTTTAGTTTTACAATCAAGCGACCTGCATACTGCATAATTCGTAAATAGGCTCACCACATTTTCTTTTTATGTTCTTTCACTTATTGAGGATGCTGTCTTACGTTAGAAAAAATTGAATTGAACCTTTGTAGGAGGGGCTACCTGTTGCCACCGTGTGCCGTCGTCTTGTAAGGGAGGCTGTCCGTGAGCGTCGCTGTAAAGATAACTGCACTGCCATTATTATTGTATTTAAGCACAAATAATCAATGGCACGATCCCCATGTGTTGTACCAGCTGCTATGCATTTTGTATTCGGATGCTGCTTTCAAAAGCAATGTAAAATATGTGAATTTCTTCTTCACACTGCAAACAAATGGTGGCACTAAATGCATACCAACTAGTTTATCACTCTTGAAACTGGTTGTTGTTATTGTAATACATGTTGAAGTGTAGTGAAGATCATTTTGCTGCAAAAGCATCTTTGATTTCAGTTCATTACTTCTACAGCTCTGCTACACATCGTGCTCATTCGACCTTGATAGTATGGGGATAATAAAGGTAAACAGAGTCCTTAGAATCAAGTTCTTATTTGAATAATGAGTGATATTAGTTAAGAACTCAATGTCATCTTTTCGTGATAGAGACAAAAAAGTAGTGCATGCCATGCAAATCCCCCTTGAAATTATTGTTTATTTTTAAAATGAGTAGGACATAAACATTAATTTGATCACAAATTGAATAAGTTTTGTTTTGGACACAACATGTGCCTTATGCTTTTGCTAATTGAAATTTGATCCTGATAAGAAGTTATGTCAGTCGCTCAGTTTTTGTTCAAGTTAGTTACACTGTCTAATTAAAACGACAAGTTTGCTGACATTCGAGTAATTGCTGAGAAGTTTCCAATTTGAAAATAAAAACTTTAAATTTAATGGAACTGATTGACTCTACCAACCCTTATCACCACTATCTGTGCAAAAGAACACTAGAATTGAATGCAGAAAAGATGGTCTTGCTTTCTACGAAGGAGTAGTTTGAAGACTCATGGAAGGTGAATTGGTTTGGAAGGATTGACAATTTGGCATTTGGCAGAGACATAATGCAATAATATATTAAAGCATGCAATCACAACAAATTACGAACTTTGCTACCAACGAACAACATATTAGTTAGTGATTTTATAATTTCAGTGAACAAATCTTTTGCCTCACCTATACGGCGTGGCAGATACATGATGTATCATCAACAATTAGCCTCTCAATCCCGAATATTCTCTCATCAATTACATGTTTCTTCAATTTCTTTTTCCTTTTCTGATTGACACTTTTATGAACCAGTCTACCTTAGGTTCATGAATAAGTACATGCAGTCAATAATGTTCCTTCCTCCCATGATCTAGTTGCTGCAATGATTAAGATATTATTTTTTATTCAACTGAGTACCTACCACTGAAGAACTCTGAGAAAGCTCACTGAAAGTTCTCATAAAGAAAAAGAAAAAGGGTGGAGTACCTCGTAAGGATTGAACCCACACATTTTCTATCATGTTTCACAACACTGAATTATCTCAAGGTTAGCCATGATATTGAACTTAGAATGAACATAATATGTAGTTTCATTCTTTAAAGAACCGTATTTCATTTAACAACTTCATGAATATATCAATTCACAGAAAAAATTTGACTCTGCTATGAAGAAAGACCAAAAGAAAGTTTAATCATAAAATATGCCTAGTTATAAACATTAGCACATGCATCTGGGATTCATATTCTCATTATCCCACTCACTTAAACGCATTCAAAAGAATCATTGAGTCAGGAGCAGCCAATCATCATCATTATTATGGTTGATATCTGGATTTTATATATAAAAGATAATCAAACCCCTGTTGGATTACATTTATTGCAAATAATAAAAGAAAGGTCATTCTATTCATTTGGTCTTATATTATCTTTATTTTAAACAAATTGTAAGTTTTAGTCCAACACATGCATAATGAAGTTTTAGTCACTGAGACTAACATCAGTCAACAATTTGTAACAGTATAAAACTGCTTCATAAACTTTTTACAGTTATAAATTGTTACAGAAAACTTGTGTTGTGATTAAATTGTACAATTTTCTTTAAAAGGAACTAGAACTTAAAATTAATGAGAATAACTAGAGGAACCAAAGGAATAGTTTAAACTAAAAAGATACGCAATTACTAATCTATACAAAGATAGAGAAATGGGACAACGGTCTGATAAACATAGTATGAAAAAGGGATGGTGGGAACATGTTCATACAAATGATAGAGGTTGGTTAGTCTCAAGCTACCCAAGTAACGTGATGCACCTTGACTCTGTCTCCCTAAATTATTAAATTCAAAGTCAACGATTGAATGTTGTCAATAGAGTTTATATCTCAGTATTATGTTTTATGATTTTGAATTTGAGAATGTTTATTGCTATATTTATCTGATAACTAACTCTAAAGATTTATTAGATGACTTTTAACTTAATTTATATTAGATATTGATTGGGAATTTATTATATTCAATTTGATTATTTGATAAAGTATTTTCTAAAAAGATAATCTTGATTTTTTTTAAAATCTCTTTAAAACGTGTGTTATTATTTTATTTGACAAGCTGAATGATATATTTCCGGGCCCTATTCAAGCAGATTTCTATTTTCTTTTGTTTAAAAAGAATTTTTCTTTTAGAAAATTATAAAACAAGCTTTATCTTATAAACTAAAGATAATTTAATGATGAATAAACCTTACCAATGCAATTCCAACGTCATAGCAAAAAGGTGAAAATTGAATTTTTAATCATGAATATAAAGTGACCTTATTAATAAAAAATAAATAACTTTTATATATTGGAAATATTATATATATATATATATATATTATATANNNNATATATATATATATATATATATATATATATATTATCAAAGCAAATGAAGCCTACAAGAAAAAAAATTTCATGTACATTTATCGAAAAGTTTTATGTTCTTACCGATCACCTATCTATAAGTTAAAAACACAATTTATCTCAATGATCATAAAATTAGTAAAAATAATATCAAGTAAAACAATAATAATAATAATAATAATAATAATATAATGATAATAATAATAATAATAATAATAATAATTATTATTATAATAATAACTCTATACCTAACAAAATATATGCTTTTACCTATAACTTAACACTTTTAAAAGACTACTATTTTGTTATCTTTTTCCTATTTATAAGTAAGAGAGGAAAATATGAATAAATTATAATAAATTTAATTAAATAAAATAATAATTTTAAAACATTAATTCATAAATAATATCTACTTATAAAATTAATAGTTCATAAAAACATTACGTAAAATAACTATTTATTTTAAAATTATATTAAATATTTCTAATAAAACCTATTATAAAAAGTACTATCGGTTTATCAGTCAAATTTTTTTTTACATATACTTTATATTTTATAATTTACCTTTCAATTTCTTTCTTTATATATAAATACAATTTTTTTTTTAAACGAAGATATCCTACTTTGTTGTCAAAGTATAATTGGTGTAAAAAAAACATAGTTAAGTACAGTTTTTTTGTTTTATATATGATAAGACTATTTTAGCTATAAGAATAATATATACATAGTTATTTGTATAAAATATAACTAAAATTAAAATCAATTATTTAAAATTCTATACATGAATATTAGAAGGAGTTTCTTAAAATGATTTTTCTTCTAATGTGGGCAGAAGGNCAAGTTGTATAATTTTATATTCCTATCAACTTTTTCCCTCTATATAAGCACCCTTCAGTCTTACAGCCTCTCATAAACAACAATGGCTAGTGTTATGACAGAGAAAGTGAAGCTTCTTGTGGCATTACTTACCCTGCAGCTCTGCTTTGCAGGATATCACATTGTGTCTAGACTTGCACTAAATATTGGAGTCAGCCAAGTTGTTTACCCCGTTTATCGAAATTTGATTGCTTTGCTTTTGTTAAGCCCATTTGCTTATGTGTTAGAGAAGTGAGTTTCCAGATGAAGTTTGTTTTCACTTTTCACCTTTCCTATCAAAATCCTTCTGTTATTTTTACTTCATTTTCTATGCAGTATCATTGTAAAAAGTTTTATTTCGTCAATCAATTAGAAACCATGTTATGTATGACTCCCAATATAACCTTAATTGATTGACATAAAAAAACCTTTTACACTGTCATTGCATATACTATTTACTCAAATTTTAACATTGAGCAATGTCAATATCTTTATAATCAGGAATCAAAGACCACCCCTCACTTTATCTTTACTGGTTCAGTTCTTCCTACTTGCATTACTGGGGTAAGAATGTATAGAAGTTGCAGATTTCCATACTCATATTTCCTTCCTATAAGTTATAATATTTTCCACTTTTGTTACACATTGACAATGAAGGATCACAGCAAACCAAGGGTTTTACTTGCTGGGATTATACTATGCTTCTCCAACTTTTGCTTCTGCATTGCAAAACTCAGTTCCTGCAATCACTTTTGTCTTGGCTTTGGCTTTAAGGTAACCAAGTCTCCTTGTAACATTCTTTATTATTTTATGCTGTGATCTTGGCATAACTTGATGATTTCATTTTATTTGTACCAGGCTTGAGGAAGCCAACATCACAAGGAGAGATGGATTGGCAAAAGTTCTTGGAACCATTGCTAGTGTGGGGGGTGCCACAGTAATTACTCTTTACAAAGGTCCTCCTCTTCTTCACCTGCAGATGGACCTAACACAAGGAGACACTTTAGAAGTAGATCAATCAACAAAAACGCAAAATTGGACTTGGGGCTGCATATACTTGCTTGGACATTGTCTGTCATGGGCTGGCTGGATAGTTTTTCAGGTCTTGTCAATACTAATGACATAAGCAGAATATATAAACTGAAATTTCAGAGTTCAGATAACCAATATGTTGATTCGTACTTAAGATAAACGTATCCATATAATATATAATGTAGTTTATTGTGACCAGACATATGTTCATGAAATTTACTTAATTTCCTCAGTATCACCAATTTTGTGACCTGAATGGTAAAAGCAAAAAACTTGGTGCAGGCTCCTGTGGTGAAGAAGTATCCAGCAAAACTAACCCTCACTTCGTTTACATGCTTCTTTGGATTGATCCAGTTCTTGATCATAGCAGCCTTTGCAGAAGATGACTTGGAGAATTGGAAGATACAGTCACTAGAGGAGCTTTTTATTATCCTATATGCAGTAATATTCATCACTTGAATTCTCAAACATTATTAAATATGATTTACATGACACATAATCCCAAGAACTGGAAATTTTGAAGTTAACTCAATTCACTGTTGCATGATGGTGGTAATTGCAGGGAATTATAGCATCTGGTGTTGTCATATCTCTCCAAACATGGTGTATTCAAAAGGGTGGTCCTGTGTTTGTTGCTGTCTTCCAGCCTGTGCAAACTATTCTAGTTGCTGTCATGGCAGCCCTAATTCTTGGTGATCAGTTATACTCAGGAGGGTACGTTCTAAATTTGTTGATCATTACTGGAATATTTCCCTATTCATGAAATGACTGAAGTACACAACGGCATAAATGAGTTATTCAATTTTTTACAGGCTTATTGGTGCAATTCTCATTGTGCTTGGTCTATACTTAGTCCTATGGGGCAAAACCAACGAAAAAAAAGTGAGAGAGTCATCACCATCACTAACAAACCCCTTGCTTAAGGCAGAGGAAGAGAATAAAGAAATTGATGCAGCTTCCAAGGACATACCATGACTTGTCCATCTGTTGACAAGAACATTATGTCTAGTCCAGGTTTGAATAACTACTGATATATGGTCCTAATTAGTAGCATTTCAAGTGTGCAACTTTGGATATAGCTGTTGAAGTAATGGTGTTGATGGCTAAGTTTGGTTAAGGAATAAGCCTGCTGGTGCTTGTTTTTTTTCATCTGAGAAGTCATTTCATTGACATTTGATTACAGGGTCAAATATAGTTTTCCGATCATGTGTCATGTCAATGATACAAGCAAGACTCTTTGAGCTCTATGTTACACTGACTNAGAAAGACTCTTAAACACTATCCCTAAAGCATGAGAAATCAGGTAAGACCATGCACTCCCCAGAAGAACCGAACGCTCACTAATGACGCTCGACCATACTATCACCTTTATTCAGAATACTATAGTTTCAAGATCAAGCCCTATCTCAACTCAATTCACAACATGTATCCGTCATCCATCCACACGTCCAAACAAGCAGCACACGCATATTTCATACTCATCAAATAATCAAACAACGTAACATGCAAACATACCCACGTTCAAAACAAAATTTAATCAAATTATATAAGCTTCCCTTACCTCTATACGTAATCGATCACTCAACGAGGCAGAATAAAGCTCCCCACTACCAAAGACTTAACGTTCCACAGTCACGTTTTAGGAGTACTGAACCAAACAGAAAACCAGAAACACTCAGAATGAATTATACGATTCACTCAGGCGACCAGAAATAGAGGGTTGCATGTGAGACTAACCGAACGTGCTAAAGAGAAGGAAACTCACCGGCTCAGAATCACAAACCGATCGGTTTAAACGAAAGCTCTTGATGTCGTGAGTGTTCAAACGGTGCCTGATCGAGGTGATCGTAAGAAGAAAAGGTGAGGTTTTCTTAGAGAGAAGGTGGAGATTTTAGAGAGAAGGAGGAGAAAATGGTTTCAGCAATTTGGAAAAGAAGGAAAGCATGCAGAGAAGTGGCATGACATTTGAAATTTGGCATTAAGTACTGTCGTCACCCAAACCGGTCACTCTCCTGCAGCCACCTGTTTTCTACTAACTGAAATGCTCACTCTCTCCTAGCACATGGATCTCACTACTTGGGTTTTCAGTGGATTTTTAAGGGTTTGACAAAAATCACTGTTTTGAATATAAAAAAGTAACAATACTAAGGTCATTAGAAAATTCAAATTCTGAAACCTAACTAGTTATTTGTTTGTTTACTGATATATCTGAAAAAACTAATGAATACTGGATCAATAACCATACGGTATATAAAAAACAAAAACTGTAACAGGTGAGAAACCCTAACAGTTTAGGGAATGATAAAGGAAAATTACCATCCAAATCAAGAACAAGGGTTACATTGCTCCTCTTTTTGCATGTTTTGTGGCTAACTGATGAAGGGCATGCGTCTAAAGAATTCTTAGGAAATGTGTGTTGAGAGTGGTTGGAGTTGATAACATGAAATTCTCGAGTAGATGGAATGACAGGGAGGGCCAAGAAACTGTTAAACCACAGAACATCATAAAGCTGTTGAAAACTTCCAAGGAATTCTTCAAAATTGCAATCNGTAAAACCATATACGAGAATAATCACATATTAACAATACTACAAGTCAGTTCAACCCTTAACGATATACGATTATGGCCGAACGGCCTTACATAACAGCAGGGAATTTAAAACCGTACGCTAGCTACCACTAGACCGAACGGTGTACAAAATAACTTATACCGAACGGTCTTACAAAAGGTAAAGCTAATAACAGACCGAACGTTCCTAAGGTTCGGCCTTCACTTCCGTCGCATCTTCCAATACTTCTTCCAGCAGCTCTTCTCCTTCTGCTCACATCCACACAGATGATCATTGCAACAGGACAACGACAGGATGCACAACACAGACAAAAATGATAAACATGGTAAGCTTATGTAATTTAATTTATTCAATAACAACATACAACATTCATAATTAAACCAACAACACCCAAATCATCATTCATACATAAAGGTATGCGAATAATGACCACTTGACTCTGACTGTCCGGACCATATGAATCTTGTGCAGTTACGACGTTCGTGCACCCGGGTGATGTAGTAACTGGGATACCCTCAACAGTTGCCACCCGAGGTTGATCCGTTCTGTCCAAGTTAACCTTATGGACTAGGACCTCCTGCCATTCCCACACATGACTTACTCATCTCTACTTGAGAATGAGTAATCATGGAATCAGGATAAACGCCCGCTAAGCTTTGCCCACATTCCTACTTTACCAATCAATAATCACTTTCTGTGATATTCCTTCCTGGAATACTTGTTCATAATCAAACTATTTCATTCACATCACATTTCAAATTCTCTTACACTTCATCATTAATACATTCAACTGAAATACGATCACGCTCTCTCATCCTATCATAAGTCCGACTGAAATAACACTTCTTAGAAAACTAACATGACTGAGCGTTACTTATCCACTTCAATAAACAAACCCCTAATAGTTTAAACCGGATGCCACGAAGCCTAGGCCGAACACCTTTTAAAGGCCAACATTGTTTGACACCCAATACTAATACTGATGAGAAATTAAGAAATAACGAACGCTATCGATTTTGGCTGAAGACTCTTATTCTAAAATGGTAATAATAGATTACTGAAAACGAGACCCAACGCTTGGTTTAAGACCGAGCCCTGTAGAAAACGAACACTATCGAACGAGCGCTGGTCCAATACTAAGTACTTATAAGAAACGAGCGCTACTGAGATCGAACGCTTGGTCCAAGACCGAGCACTAATAAACTTACATAAAACGACTAAATATATGTATACAATTGCTCCACACTTACTTTTAATGAAAAAGAACGATAACGTCTAAGACCTTAAGTAGTATATAATACATTAACTACACTGTTTAGGAAACCTAAAGAAGGACTACACTTAGGCCGAACACTCATTTATACATATATAATATTATAACACGATCTTCATTAACGAAATTCCTTGTAGAAGAAGAACTTAATATAGACGAACGCTCAAAGGAAAATTGAACGGTGAATACGAACTCTCGGTCACAGTTTACCTAATCCTATATAGTATTACAGAAAGACTCTTAAACACTATCCCTAAAGCATGAGAAATCAGGTAAGACCATGCACTCCCCAGAAGAACCGAACGCTCACTAATGACGCTCGACCATACTATCACCTTTATTCAGAATACTATAGTTTCAAGATCAAGCCCTATCTCAACTCAATTCACAACATGTATCCGTCATCCATCCACACGTCCAAACAAGCAGCACACGCATATTTCATACTCATCAAATAATCAAACAACGTAACATGCAAACATACCCACGTTCAAAACAAAATTTAATCAAATTATATAAGCTTCCCTTACCTCTATACGTAATNTTCATTGACATTTGATTACAGGGTCAAATATAGTTTTCCGATCATGTGTCATGTCAATGATACAAGCAAGACTCTTTGAGCTCTATGTTACACTGACTATACATGAATACTATGAATATTGACTATCTTTCACTTTTCAGTCTTCAGATATTAAAAAGAATCTTGAGAAATTGTCTCCATTTTTCTTGTTTAGCTATTAAATCATTTCTCCTTATTAATTCACAACTTCTGGATATCTGGACGTGGTGGAGTTTATGCACTATAGTTCAAGTTCAGTATTATTGCGTATACAAAGTTCAAATATCAGTGAGGGCATTTTATTACTGCTAAGAGAGAGGTGTGGCAACTTGAAATATTGCGTGTAATGTTCTTTCAAATATAAATAAATTTAGTATGATACTACTGGTGATGATGATCATAGCAGTCAGAAACAGGCCTATTTCTATACTGAAAACTGAGGAAGAGGTGGTCTGATGAGAAAGCATTGGAATATTGTCAAAAACTTTTATGGTATTTTTTATTGATAATGAATAAGGTAGAGAATGATAATGAAAATGCAACACTTCTACCATCTACTGAAGAGGTGAACTTGAATGTTTCTTCTTTCAGAAATTCTGGCAGAATAGTGAATTTGGATGTTTATGCAGCACTACTACAATTATTAAAGAAGGATTTTAAGCCTATTGCATTAGCTAATGATTAAGAAGATTATGACCAATAGATGGACTGTTTTTGCTCCAATAGTAATTTCTTCTAATCAGTTTGGTTTCATAAAAAGGAGAATTATTGATTGTGTCTGCTTGGTATCAATACATTTGCTTTGTTGGTATCAAGATAAAGAAAATTGACCTTAAATGATGTTCGACACAATTGATTAAAATTTTGTTACAAGTTTTAGATCATTTTAGATTTCACCATCATTCTATCCTTTTGATCATGACAATTATTGAGTAGTCCCAGCTTTAAAGGACCTAAAGATGCAATGTATTGATATTTTAAAAAGTAAACAAATAAATATTGACATAGGTTAACACAAATATTACTATGTGTATACTAAATATTTACAAAATATTCTGTATCAACATTAGTGCAAACAAGTGTATTGGTCATGTTTATCCACATTTTCACTTACATAATTAAACAAAATATGTTAACTTAGCCAATAATAACTTTCTAGAAATTGTATTTATTATTATTATTATAAAAAATTGACATATTTGCAGAATTATGTTTTCATCCACACATATATATCTCTTGGATGGTATTACATATCCTCATTTTAGGTAANTGGGGAGAGGAAATTTACACCCTTACAGATATATAAATTATACAATAAATAATTATTTATTTAGTTATCCTTTTCCCATTCTACCTCTCCCTTTCCCAATTTCTTTTTTCTTTTCTTCGTTTACCTCAACCTCACTGTTACAGCAGCCATAGGCCGCAGCACTCCCCTTTCCCCGTCCTTCCTTCTCACTTTGTTCCCCCTATTTTCTATTTCATGTAATTTCCAAGCATGCACACAACTCCTCTACACAAAAAAAAAAAACGCAACAACATTGACAAGCAATGCACGAACAAAGACATCCCGCACCTTCCTCCTCACTGCAACACAATCAAACACAAAAGTTGCTAAGGCCAAAAAAAAGTTTCCCTTCCTGAATAAAAACAAAGAGGGTTGATCAATTGGCTAGTATACACGTTGAAAATCCCTAAAAGTCTGTGGCAACAAGGGAACCTAACGAACGCCTTGAAATTTTTTTTTGTGTAAGTGGGGTGATCTTGAATTATGTGCTATGATTATGATGGAACAGATCTGGATTGATTCGTGTTCACAGCTCAGGGGAGTGAACAGGAGAGAAGCAAATAAGGTACAGCAGCTTGGAAAAGCATCTGTAATTGAAAGTTCCTGACTCGTAACTCATGAAGAAGTGGCCACCCAAAAGATGAGATGGAAATGGGTAGAAAGGGAAAAAGAAAAAGACAACACAACCTGCATCTGTTTGCATAAAACTTATAACATCTTCCCAGAATGTAAAGCACATGCCTGCAACATTCAAATTAAAGACTTACCAATTTGGTAGCAGCAATTGTTGAGCGTTGCCTTTCCTTTTTCTCACGACTGCACTCGCCACACCAGCTGGAGAAATCTTTTTGATACCGTTTCATCTCCCTAAAGACAGAACTACAACAACATGCAAACTTCAAACTTAATTTACTGAGGGAAAAAATGAACAGAAATCAGACATTGTGTGTTTTCTGAATCTAGTGATTACCAGAGCAATTTAATATGAAGCAAACAACTCACAATCATTAGACAAGCTGAAGGAAAAAGTGAAATCACCTTCTGCACCACAGAAGTAGGTTGACCCGATTGCCAGATGTTGTAGCTCTAGCACCATGGCGGTGACGACCACGATGAAGCACAGCTCGTCCAGGAACATGAGAATAATCAAAGATCTCCTACTTTCAAATAATGGACCCCAAAAGAAAAGCGTACAACCATGAGAAGTAGCAAGAAGCAATGGTCCATAAATCTCGTTACAATAGTAAACATATAACACTAACTAACTTTATTGAAACAGAATATTTGGATTTGCTTTCACTACATATGTTATATATACGGTCTCAAGCATTGTGGTGAGGTCAACTTGCATGTTGGCAAACNGAGTAGATGGAATGACAGGGAGGGCCAAGAAACTGTTAAACCACAGAACATCATAAAGCTGTTGAAAACTTCCAAGGAATTCTTCAAAATTGCAATCTTCGATTCCTGATAATCTCTCCTTGAGAGTGAAGAACACCATGTTTGGTAAGGTTATAGACTGAATTAGGTCAAGAATCATACTATTAAAGTGGCTTATTATGCTTTTGATAACTAACTTTAAGATTTTATTAGATGATTTTTTAACAAAATTTAGATACACTCGATATTATATTGATTTTGATTTGTAATTTTATTATAGATAATATTGATCTTATAAATGATATATGATAAAGTATTTTTTAAAGAAAGATAATCTTAGATCGTAAAAGTTGAAAAAGAAAATAAGATATTAATTATAGGTATAAATAACAGAAAAATATTTTTATTACACCAGATTTTTATTTTCTCTTATTTAAAAAGAATTTTTTTTAAAAATTATAAAAAAAAGACCTTAATCTTATAAACTAAAGATAATGTAATGATAAATAAACGTAACCAATACCAACCTAGAAAAGGTGAAAATTGAATTTTTAATCATGAATATAAAAGTGATCGTATTCATAAAAAAATAAATAATATTTAAATTTTGGAAATATATATATATATATATATATATATATATATATATATATATATATATTAAAAATATTATCAAATCAATTGAAAAAAAAATAATGTACATATATCGAAAAAGGAGGACGTAGTATTTAAGGAAAATGTAGAATTAGGGTTTGATTACATTTAAAGAAAAAAAAGCTCGTTTTTTGTTTTCTCTTCAAACTTCTAAATTTCATGAAACGTACACAGACTTAAGTTAATTATTGTGCTAAAGAGTGGTTTTCTGCTTAAAATCAAACAAAAGAATGACGTTGTTTTCGGCTCACACGAGATCATCGATATTCGTTTGAATTATAACGAGTAAAATAAAAATAAAGGAATAAAACAAATACTTTAGTTTGTTTTTTTTCTTAAAAAAAAATACAAAATATTTTTCAACAAAATCTTACTCAAATTTGGAAAAATGAAAAAACGAATCAATCTAATCTATTTTATTCTTGTTTCTCATTAATTCGTTAAATGAATCAAGTTGAATTGATAAAAAAACTAATAAAAAATTAATGATTAAAATTTAGTTTGTGAAACCCTTGTTTAGGTAAGCAAGGGAAATTTAGTTTGTCTATGTGACATGTTTTAAGGTTATCTTTAAGGAAAATGATACTTGAACAACCATTTTTGACAACATTTAGACACGCGCACACGTGTCTAAATTTGAATGGTCCAGTTGGAAAAATTAAATGAAAATGGACCACTCAAATTTAGACACGTGTGCGCGTGTCTAAATATTGTCAAAAATGGTTGTTCAAGTGTCATTTTCCTATCTTTAAAGGTTTATTTACGAACACAGGAGGAGTATCTCAAGTAGAACTTTTCAGGGTATGCTTTGACTTATGACATCTGATAACACCTTGAAGGTTGATTTCACAATAAATATATTCACAGCTTCCCTCAGCATTCACTTTCATCTGGCATTTTGGGTGATGAAGATCTGCATTTAAACAGAAGCCTTCATCATTAAGACACATGATGATATCATCTTGTAGAGAATAAATTATTCTCATGATTTTCTTTGTATTCCACCCATCGTTGTCAAAGATTTTGTGTTTCCTCCATCTCCAAATCCACCACACTGCTGAATAAAAATCCTGATTATGCAAGGAATTATGATTTGAAACAATCACCACAATTTATTAAAACATTACTTGTCAGGAGACAAGACAACAACATCAGAACTTCCTGTTTGCATGTGATATTCTCGTAATCACATTCAAGATGAAGTTGTTTTTCAGATATTAGAGTCAACAACTTGACCCACAGAATATTATTTAGTTATAAGTTCTCTACCCTTTCTTATGTCCATAGAAAATTATTGATTAATGTCTATTCAATTGCATATTGTTTCCTTGTAGAAAATGTCGAGATTGTGATAACAGCCAGATTTGTTCTTCATGATAAATCACCTTATCATGATTTCAAAACTAAACAAAACATGTCTCCAAATAATAAATCACCTTTTTTAAAGCTAAAACAAACATGTTAAAATGCTAAGAACAACCTACCATTCATCCATGGCTCACCTTCAACTCTACCAAAAATTAATAAATAAATAAATAAAAGAACAGAAAATGCGGTTGTTACAGTAGCCAATGAACCTCAGAAAGAATTCAGTATACACTAATTACAGTCTACATCTACATTTCTGGACATGATTATGCGGTTTAACGCATTTAAAAAATGGCCTTTGAGCATTACGCCAGCCTACATAACAGCCAGCTCCTCTACACAAATAGGCATCCGCATCCCATAAACCGCGCAGTTCTTAAGGAAAACTCCAAGGTTACTAAGAAAACTATCTAAGTACAGCAGCTATCTTGTACAGACACCTGGATCAGGAACCATAGCTTACTAGTATTAACAAATGATTGCAGGTACATCACTTTCACAATGATCCACCGAGTAAAACAGATTATGCAGTGGATTCACCTTCCCTCCTGAACAACTCCTGTAATATCATCAGATAAAAGTTATATCCTGCAATCTCAGCTATGTATTTTTAATTATACCGGACAAGGACAAACTAATGTCAGAAAAACATCTCATTGTAGAGCTATGAAATTGGAAAGTCCAATTTGCTTTAATCCTTAAACTCGAATATTTGACTAAACCCCGTGGTGAAGAAAGAACACGACTTTTACTTTAAGAATATGAATTCTAATTCAATTTTTCCCTTACATTCCTATATTTCAAGTTTTATACAGTTGACAGTTCCTCTGTATTTCAAGCAATCCTAAAGTATTATTCCTTTGGTAGGAGCTAGCAGGCTAGGAGCAATTTTCCAACAACACAAGATTAGAAGTCAAGTGCATTTGCGTGTGCTTAACAGTGGCTACAGTAGGAGGGTCAATCATGTCTCTGGGGAGAGGAAATTTACACCCTTACAGATATATAAATTATACAATAAATAATTATTTATTTAGTTATCCTTTTCCCATTCTACCTCTCCCTTTCCCAATTTCTTTTTTCTTTTCTTCGTTTACCTCAACCTCACTGTTACAGCAGCCATAGGCCGCAGCACTCCCCTTTCCCCGTCCTTCCTTCTCACTTTGTTCCCCCTATTTTCTATTTCATGTAATTTCCAAGCATGCACACAACTCCTCTACACAAAAAAAAAAAACGCAACAACATTGACAAGCAATGCACGAACAAAGACATCCCGCACCTTCCTCCTCACTGCAACACAATCAAACACAAAAGTTGCTAGGGCCAAAAAAGAGTTTCCCTTCCTGAATAAAAACAAAGAGGGTTGATCAATTGGCTAGTATACACGTTGAAAATCCCTAAAAGTCTGTGGCAACAAGGGAACCTAACGAACGCCTTGAAATTTTTTTTTGTGTAAGTGGGGTGATCTTGAATTATGTGCTATGATTATGATGGAACAGATCTGGATTGATTCGTGTTCACAGCTCAGGGGAGTGAACAGGAGAGAAGCAAATAAGGTACAGCAGCTTGGAAAAGCATCTGTAATTGAAAGTTCCTGACTCGTAACTCATGAAGAAGTGGCCACCCAAAAGATGAGATGGAAATGGGTAGAAAGGGAAAAAGAAAAAGACAACACAACCTGCATCTGTTTGCATAAAACTTATAACATCTTCCCAGAATGTAAAGCACATGCCTGCAACATTCAAATTAAAGACTTACCAATTTGGTAGCAGCAATTGTTGAGCGTTGCCTTTCCTTTTTCTCACGACTGCACTCGCCACACCAGCTGGAGAAATCTTTTTGATACCGTTTCATCTCCCTAAAGACAGAACTACAACAACATGCAAACTTCAAACTTAATTTACTGAGGGAAAAAATGAACAGAAATCAGACATTGTGTGTTTTCTGAATCTAGTGATTACCAGAGCAATTTAATATGAAGCAAACAACTCACAATCATTAGACAAGCTGAAGGAAAAAGTGAAATCACCTTCTGCACCACAGAAGTAGGTTGACCCGATTGCCAGATGTTGTAGCTCTAGCACCATGGCGGTGTCGACCACGATGAAGCACAGCTCGTCCAGGAACATGAGAATAATCAAAGATCTCCTACTTTCAAATAATGGACCCCAAAAGAAAAGCGTACAACCATGAGAAGTAGCAAGAAGCAATGGTCCATAAATCTCGTTACAATAGTAAACATATAACACTAACTAACTTTATTGAAACAGAATATTTGGATTTGCTTTCACTACATATGTTATATATACGGTCTCAAGCATTGTGGTGAGGTCAACTTGCATGTTGGCAAACGTGTTAATGCTTCTTGCTGATTGAGGCATTACTAATTTAGAGAAAGTAGAGTAATAAACACTTACAGTTACAAAAGAAATAGAAGGCATTGAATCTTCCTAACAACAATACAACTTGATGTTATTCAATCGCAGTGACTTACCTCTGAATGAGTTCCAGTATTTACATGTTTCTCACATCGTATGCCCCGGAAAAACAATTCCCCTCCAGAAAATTGCTTACCCAAACAAACATTCAAGGTTACTTCTGAGTCATCTACATGGAAACCTATAGATGCAAGAGACTCTTAATTGTAAAATACAAGAGGCATATTAACATCAGCAATATAGCCGTACTAAAAAGCATATCATATGAAAGCATCATCATAAAAATATTTGTGACCATAGTAAAGCAATTACGGTCTCTATCCAAGTTTTATTTGAATTTGAAGCTTCAAAAAAAGTATTAAATTGTCCAATTTGTTTATTAATTATATATTATGGACATGACCTATGGAATAATAAAACAAACACATCAATCAGAAATCTTACCCAAGTCAACATCTCTATCTTTACCATATTCAACAACAAAACCATGATGAGAATCCAGGGTTGCCCCACCAACTTCCGCAAATAAGACTGCATAACAAATAATTGAGTGACTTAACATGTCTTATGAGAATGAAAAGAATGTCAGACCACCATGAGATTGTAATGCAGTCTTCATTTACCTCTGGATAAAGGACGAATAAAACCTTCCATAAGCTTGTCAAGCATTGTTTCAAGTCCAAAGTCATCAAGAACAGCACCATATTTATTCATTGTATTGGGACGCATGATCCGAAACTTTGTTTCAGTCACCCACTTCTCAAAATTTTCAATCTAGGGAGATCACAATTAAATTTTAACATACACAAAACATAAGTATACACAACGTCATCTTTTTAATCTTCCAATTTAAAAGATAAGACACTGCTTATATCATAGGTAATGAAAGTAAAATGATTAGGTACCTCAGATAGCAATAACTCACAAAAGTTGGTCTGAAATATGTCAAATATAAAAATGCCAGGAGAGGGCTCAGACATTATACTTCTAAAGCTTTGCTCAGTATTATCATTAATTGCTCTCAGAAATGAGGGAACGAAGAATGTAGCAGGATTCACAGAGTACAACTCCCGATGCAGAGGCTGCAAATTGTGTTTAAGAAACTGTAAGATTTGCTAAGAAATATGAGAAAGGAAGGCCATGTTATCAAATTCTGAATTGCAGCATGAAGTGGCTGGCCCCAAACACATCACAGTGGGTAAGGAAGGCCGTCCAAGGATTAGAAACTCAATATGCAGAATTTATAGTATATACATAAAAATAAAAATATCAAAACTCAAATTCACACGCTAATTAAAAAAATGTGTAAAACAAGGGGAAAAGAATTGCAAACTACTGCAACTGAGAGATGCAGAAAGGGTAGCGAGTGTATGGTAGAGATTGAGTAAGCAAAGGGTCACTGGCAACAAATGGGTGACTGAAAATGCCAGAAATGGCTAGAAAAATCATTAGTGATCAATGAAAGCGAGATCATGGGATCAAGGCACGCAGAAGCTTGCTTACAAAATGAATAATGATTAGAGATAAACGTGAATTTCAAATTTTCTGATGGAAATGGCAAAACCACTATATAATCAGGGTTGGATGAGGTAAAAAAATAGGGATAACATGGGGCTTTACCCTCCTACATGAGAAAATAGTAGTGTAAACAACACTGAATGGACACAATTGTTTTAGCTGCAAAGTACAGAACAATGGGCATTACACAAAAGCATTGTGAACTGATATCTACAGCAGCTTCTAGCCATGAATCACCACTATTGAACATAATGTAGAATTTATAACCATGGCTCCGGGTTCTAATTTTGTGTATTCCAGGCCTGCTCATACTAACAGTAGTCTAAATCAGGAAATAGGATTCATAGCTAGATTTAGCCATAATGGTTTATTATATACACTTTTTTTTTTAAGAATTTACTTTATGAGAAACTCATTCTCTCTTCTTCTCAAAGTCTTACTGAAATAACTCTTTTAGGTTCAACATTAATTTCAGGCAAAAAGAAACAGCCAGAAGAACAGTCAAAAAAATGAAATTTTGGTTATTACATACCTGATAATTTTCTATTATCTTCTGTCTGTATTCTCTATGCTTTTGAGACTGCCAAAGTAACATAGGAACTATCATATAAAAAAATAAGAAGTAAAATAACAAAAAGACACAACGATGTGATAATAATGATTAAGACAGATTATTTTTTCAGAAATGATTAATTATTTTTCAAAAGTTCTCTTAGACAGCATGCAAAAATATGCAATTATTTTTTAAAAATAAGGTGAAACAAATTTACTCTTATTTGCTTTTCTGATTTTCTTTGAGTTCAATCTTCTATTCATGCTGAAATCATGGACCTATTCATGCAGTTGATATTGCCTACGATAATGGTTGACATATCTTGTGGCTGTAGAGTGACTCGATGTTGGTTGTACAGGCTTTTCAGAACGATCATATTGTTGCTGTGCATCTTCTATCTAGATGGCATAATATGAAGCTTAAATGTAAAAATATGAGATTTCATGTTTCTCATATTTATATGGAAGGAATCATTGTGTTGATAAGCTTGCATGCTTTAGTATAAAAGAAAGATGTAATCAGTGGGAGGATGACATTCCAGATTTTCACAGATATTTTCAACCTTTCTATGGGTTTGCTCCTTGGGTAGGTTTAGTATAATCTCTATACTCTTTTGTACTTCTTTTCATTATTTATGTTATTTGAATATGTTGCAGATGATTGATGTAAAATAGGATGCCAACCTAGTTGGAATAAGAGTAAAAAGCACCCAAATCGACTAATGCACACTATCACTAAAGAAGAGAAAGAACATCCACCCGCAATTCTCTGTTTTATTCCTTCGTATAGAAGTAAACTTCTGGCAAGGAGGCACACCCCATTTCAGCAGGTATATTTTTCAAACATGACCACACAATTTATTGTGAACCAGCAAGTTACCAGTTTCCTCTGTTTAATTCTACAACGCCATTAAAGCTCAAATCTAACTTGCAAAGCAAACCAATCATGTCTGGTTTCAACTGGTCCTACCGGATAACACTTCCTCCAACCAAACCTGCTTGTAAGAGGGGCAGATGCCTCATTTTAGAGACAAATTAAATCACTTATATCATTCTACTTATTTTGGTTTTCCATATTATATCCTCCTTCAAAAGATTCAAACTTCGGTAAGTTACTTTGTGAGTAACAAGTACTTCCGCTAAACTCAACTTGGTTATGTTAACATAAATTAACAGCATACTCCTCATTCCTGTAACTAGCCTAACTTGACACACAAGTAACACAATTCCCGCAATTAACACTAAAAATCCCAATCCATC